CATATTCCAATTCTGTCTACATTGAACAGCTATCTGTTCTATCTGTAATCTTGATCATTTGATTGAAATTGTAGTTATTTTGACAAAATGTTACGAAGTGTTTTTGTGATTTATGATGATGATGATTTGGATGATGATGTAAATATATATTGAAGTTATTGAAAAATGTCAACCATATCAAAAACTGATTATCAGAATTCATTTGGTATTATTTGGCTTGTGTCTTCCTAGAGTGAACATTGACTCTGAGATGCAGGTACATCCAGCTGATGAGTCCCGAATAGGACGAAACGCGCGAACTGGATTCCACTGTTAGCCGCTATCCAGCATTGCTTACAAAATGATTATCAGAATGTTTGAAATCATTATAAGAAATGGAAAATGTTTCTTTAATCTTGAGTCCAATTTTCCTATTTAATAAGATTTTTCAAATTTGATCATTCAGTTTCGTTATTACTTTCAGGACTGATGGAATATCTTTGATATTGTCTATGACTATGACACTGAAAAACAATACAGTAGTTTATTGACATCGGTATTATAATAAATATTTGTTTATATTCATTCAGTTAGTTAAATCATATCACACAGGCTTTTAGGGTCAAATATAAGATCATCATAGATGGTTACCCAATTATAGTTTAGCCATTGTAGTTTACAATTCAAAGTTTGTAAAAGTATAAATAAGCTAAGTCTCAAGCCTTTGGTATTCATTGTTAACAAAATCCTTTTTAGAAGATTTTTACAAATAATAAGTAAACAGTAGTTCATACACATAGTTCTGTTTTATTATCTTAAAGAGAGCAAAAACAAAGATTAGTGCAAAATAACATGAATTGATTTTATTTTGTTAGGTTAAGAAATTACGTACTTATGAAATCTTAAGTGAAATGATGATGTAATGAGATTATGGTTAGATAATGGTTCAGGTGTCATTCTAATAAACACAACAGATTATGTCCCTAAGATGAAGTGGATTTTAAGTGACCATATGAGATTTAAGTTAGACAAAAGTAACAAGGAATCAACTGATTCAATTGACAAAAGAATCACGAATGTACTCAGGGATCTCCTGAAAAAGAAGATGGTTGACAATTTCACTTCCACTTCCTGAAACCATAGTCATAGTTTGCCGGCATTCTGACATCCTACCTCTACCAGCATCACAAGTCAAACGACTGCAAAGCACTAGATGTTCATTTACAGTCCAAAAATGTCTTATATCGTGAACATATGATGTATCAATGGGAAGTCCGTTATTTACTGTCCTAGTAGATATTTTCATGGCTATTCTTGGAAGAACTAAGCCAAAATGAGCGATTGGTGAAATGGTGTATTATGTAATGTAATGATCAACAACATTCAACAAATCTGCTGAAACTTCTCAACAAAGCCTATGAAACATCCAGTTAACTGTGGAACATCAAAGTAATACATGTTCCATTTGATCTACATCTCTGTACAACTAAGGTGTATGGCACGGTCCGACGTTTAGTTTATAGAACAGACATATGGAATGCGATTTATCTCAATTTCAATAACGTTTGACGACTCAGTTACTAAAAAGCACTGATTAAAACACTATTTAACGGAACTAACAAAATTTGTACTGCCTACACACTTAAAGAGGAATTAATGGAGGTGAAAAGGTGTTCAAAGAATAATGAAAAACCACAGAAATTTAGTAAGAAATATGGGAAACGTGGACATACAAAGTCTAAAGAAACTACAATAAACAAAAAACCTATTTTTATCCAACTTTAATTCAAAGGTAATGATGTAAAAGGGTCAATTAATATAAAACTAAAACCTTCATTGACAAGAACTTATTCTGCAGATAAATTGTTTGTCCTGTCCAAAACAACATGTCGTTTTACATAATCAAATATCGATGGGTATCCCTTTCATGTCACTTTCAACTGTGTATATAAATTTACATGTAGCTGTTAAAGTAGTTACATTGGTAGAACAGAAAAAAGAACCTACGTCTTATTCAAAGAATTTAATGTCAAGTATATTCACTTGGTGTTGTTTACTTGTATCTTCCCACTGTTATTTAGGACTGCATTTGATCAGTCTCTTGTTGTTTTATATGCATCCTGTGCGGACTGCCTCGATATTGCTTGAAGTTACAAGCTTATTCAGCAAAGATGGATAATACACATATGCCAACACTAGACTGATCAATTGCAGTCCTAAATAACAATAGGAAGATACAAGTAAACAAAACTAAGTAAATATAACTTCACCCCATTGCACAAGGAGGTGGCTATCAGGACTCAGTAGCTTAGTGGATAAATCGGTGGCGTTCGAGACGAACGGTACTGGGTTTGAGTTCCACAGTGAACATCAACTCTGAGATACAGTTACATCCAGCTGACGAGTCCCAAATAGGACAGAAGGCGCGTACTGGAATCCACTGCTAGCCACTATCTATCTTCGTTTACTAATGTCGAGTAAATTAAAAACATGCCATCTCAAGATATTTCCTTGATATAGAATATCAAGCAGATACACTGAAGTCTTTCAAGGTATGTAGTAAACAATCGAATCCCAATTTTCCGAAATTTGCCGAAGCTATAGTGATCAAACATCTAAAAACCAGATCCATGTTCAAAAAGAGATAGTCATAAATATTTCTAACATTACAACTGTTTTATAGTATATTTCATTATTTCAACTCTTTGTCAAGGTTTGATTACATCATAGTCATTTTTCTTTAACTCATAATTGACTGATTTCAATTTATATCTTTCTTTATTACCATTAATCTATTCCAAGTTAGTTCATTACAGAATCATCGAATGTTTGTTAACTCTATGATTCCTAATCATTAGTTCGATGTTCTGTAACTTTCTCTCTCAAACTTTATTTACTTATCTGAAACAAAAAAACTTTTATGACCTCATCAACTCTATCGGAATCCTCGCTACATCATGATACACATATACTCATCCATTAATCCACCTCTTATGTATAAGTATGTCAATATCTGTGATAACTTTGATTTTAAAGGATGATAGATTGTAAACAGCTGATGAGAACATAACGAAATAAAATGAGTTCATATTATTCTGTACGAATCTTTATTTGCTCTCTCTTTAAATAGCAGTCAATTGAACGAAAGTATATAAATCTGACACTTAAATGCAAATATATATTATTAATCAAACGATTCAGCATTTCTCTACTTCTCTCAATTCTCATGGAAAACTAATGAAACATTTTACATATTTAGTCCTCCAAGTATACTAGAAACTTCCTTTAAGAATAACAGTCAAATCAATAAATCATCAGGCGACACTTAGACTTTTGAAACTATGCAATAAAGGTTTGTCAATCACATGATTAGAGAATAAGTCAGTCAGCTACAACGTAGGACCAGACACATATATATATGCATTGATCCAAGTTGCCATACTTTATTAGCAGAGCAAGATGAACACCGGATTCGTAGAAGTTAAGTCAATGGTGGTAATATATAAAAGAAAAATTAAAGAATAAACCAACAAATTAACTGATTAGAATCCAACGATCAAAAATTCTAATAACGAATACAAACGAGTTTATCAAAACATAATGGTCTAGTTCTTAAATATGAAAATTATATATGTAATAATCTCAGTCATTGAAATTTAAAATAATTCCAACGTTTCGTCCAGAAAACTTGTTTGAACTTCTTCAGTTTAATAACTCGATGTAAACATTGAATGTCACATCATGAACAATAATTTAAGCTTTTCCGTTAAGTTATCTAAAATAAACAACTTCAAATAATGTAAACCTAAATGTCTTCTACATTATTTGAAGTTGTGTTTTAATTGATATGCCTACAGAATTATTAATGAACTATTTATGATTATTTGTTTAACTTTAAACGATGAACTCATTCTAGAATCTTAAAGAGAACAAGTGCGAAGATTGGTGCAGAATGATATCAATGTATTTCATTTCGTTAAGTTCTCATCAGTTGCTTACAAAATAAAATATTTGAAAATCGAAGTTATTACATATATTGACATACTTATACATTCAAGGGTGATGAATGGATGGATATATGTGTATCAGTATGTAGCGAAAATTCCGACAGAGTTAATGAGGTCATAAAATCTTGTTTCGAATAGATAAAGTTTGAAAGGAAAGTAACAGAACATTCAAATAGTGATTAGAATTCATGGAATTAACAAACATTAGATGATTATGTAATGAAGTAACTGAAAATAGATTAATGGTAATAAAGAAAGATATAAATTGAAATCAGTCAGTTATGAATTGAAGAAAGCAATGATAATGATATAATTTAAACTTGAGAAAGAGTTGAAATAATGAATGACGTAATAAATAAAAAGGTTTAATATTATCAGGGCAAAGAAAGATTCATTACTGTCTCCTTTTGGATACATGGATCTGGTTTTCGACGTTTGAATGCAATCGCTTCGGTAAATTTCAAAGGGTTGAAGTTTGATTGTTTGTTAATCAACTTGAAAGACTTCAGTGTATTGACTATATGTCCTGTATTAAGGAGATGTCTTGTGATGGCACGGCTGAATGTTTCTAATCCATTAGATCTTAAAGTTTCCAGAATATGTTCTTTGAATCGGACGTAGGTTCTCCTTTCTGTTCTATATTAATTGACCCTTTCACATCATTACCTTTGAATTAAAGTTGAATATAAATAGATTTTTTTGTTTACTGTAGTTTCTTTGGATTTTGTTTGTCCACGTTTCTCATATTTCTTACTAAATTTCTGTGGTTTTCCATTATTCTTTAAACACCTTTTCACCTCTATTTATTCCTCTTTAAATGTGTTGGCAATACGTAATAAAATGAATTCATGTTATTCTGCACCAATTTTCGTTCTTGCTCTTTTTAAGATAATAAAGGGAACTATGTGTATGAAATCTTTCTTGAATATTTCATATTATTTTATAGTAAACTTGTCTTTAAATATGCATCTGTATTGTGTTTTATTTTCCGAAAAAAAATTATATTTTAACCAGACATCGGCATTGGTAAATCTTGCAGTTTTAACTGGACAACCAACTACTTATCCTGTATGGGTATATGGTTTAACACATGATTTAAAATTAATTGATATCACTAATAAAGCAACATGTCATACTGGTGATGATGCTGTAATACATTTTGCACAAGATATTTGTTCAAAACTTGGATTCTCTGGTGCAGAATTAGATGGTTCTCCAGGATTACCATTAGTAGCAAAAATGGATGGTCGTAGTGCTAGTGCAACACTATTAGTTTGGTATCCAAAATCACCTTCACTTAAATTAATTGTTGAATCAAGTTCAACTAATAGTTATGATTCTATGAATCAAGATTCATCAAATCATATTACAATAAAACGTCTTGCTACAGAAATTGTTGCAGCACAGTAAGTTTAACATTAATTTTTTGTTTACAGTTAGTCCTTTTGGTGAACTTAAATTAATGTAGAACAATAATTTAGACAGAATAATTTGAACCCATTTATTGTATTTATTTGCACACATAAATATTGGTACAAATGGATACCGAATACATATGCAACACACAAAACACTTGATTTGTGTATGCGCTATGATACTGCACGAGTGCTCAAATCAAACCAGATGGTTCTCTTAATCGGTCACACCCACAGCCTTCGACATACAGGTCTGATATACAAAGTAGTGGAGAAACGTATAAGATGCACTCGCATGATAGCCACTGACCAACGATTGATTAACACACCATTTGTTCCTTCAGGATCCTGGAGTCCATGTACACAATTGGTTTGGAATGAGGATTCTCCAACTTCCCTGGACGAACTCTCCATATCCACCAACCCAGTTAATTCACCGGACAATTCTCTCTTCGTCCTCTCAATTTCGTAAACAACATTGGTGGTGCGAGAAGGCAATGAGTATGACTTCCCTGGTAGCGACTATATACGTGTGGTCATGTTAGAAGATTTGGAGAGAGGGAGAGAGAGAGAAAGTAGACTCTGGTCACTCTTGGGCGTACCAGGGCATTTGGTGGCATGAAACCATTTCTTGGTCAGCTACTTACAAAAGTATCTCTCTCGAAACAAAATATGAAGTTATATAGTAGGACATTATGGATTGAAGAAAACTGGAATGACAATAATAAATGGTATTATATGTATATACTACTGTAAGCAACTGAGAAGAAACCAAAACATCAAATAGATTCACATTATTCTAGCTAAATTGTTATTCTATCGTCAATTAAATTATTGATTTTTCATAATATCTATTCAATGTGAACGTTTTGGTTAAAGATATACCGTTTAAAGTAATTACATCAATTTGATTATAGTTCTTACCATAGACTGATACTAGAGTGGATAATTATTGAGATATACGATGTCTATAACCGTTGTTTCATTCTAGTTTATGATATTAAACCGATTGTTTTTAGTGTCTTAATGTAATACATTTATATATTTCTGTTGAAATAATTTATTAATGAACTTCAAACATTATTCTATGACATTAAAGTTGTTGATGAAACCCTCATATAACATGAAGAAATGATAAAAAAATAAAGCAGTACTACAACATCGTTGTGAAAATCTGTTATAATCAACGAATTTGTTATATTAATTAACGAACAAGAATTTACACCATAATATGAAATAGATAACGTTTCGAACAACATTTAGATGTTTAAGTGTTTAATTAATCATCATCTAACAGAGGGGTTTATGAGTTCATAGATTTTAATAATCATCTAATGAATAAAATACAAATATGGATCAGATCATATTGCTAAAGTACCAATCAATTTTATTGAACAATCGAAGAATACTTTGCAAAAATATTGCTTGAATAAAACTTTCAGAACATTTGAATGGTTAAGTCTTTTGTTGAATATACATAAAAAATTTTGAATGTAATACTTTACTTTGTTCATTTTAATCACTTTAACGATAAGTATTCTTTAGTTCATCAGTCATTACCTGATATCATAGTAATTTTAATATAGTTGCAATCATGAGTCAATTGAAGCTAGACTACCATGGAAAAATTGGAAGCACTGGACGGCCATTTCGTCCTATCGTGGGAATCCTCATCAGTGAGCGTCCATGATCCTATCTCGAGAGATCTAAATCCAGGACCAGTCAGTCTCGTGCGCGAACACTTAAACACTACACCACTGAGCCGGCCGGCATCCAATGATGTTAATGTCTAACTTTAACTGATCCACGAAATTGAGCAACACACCCACCATTGTCATCAGTGATTTACTATCTCACAACAGACCCGGTTGAACACCAATGGTCACTGCTTCTCACTAAAACTCCTGGAAATACCTCTTGAAGCCAGTCACTAGTGAGCATATATTGATTAATATCAGAAGGGGATTTGTGGATATTATGATGATTTTAATAGTTAACATCATGAGTCAATGGAAGCTAGACTACCATGGAAAACTTGAAAGCACTGGACATCCGTTTCGTCTTATTGTTGGACTCCTCAGCAGTGTGCATCCACAATCCCATATTAGGACGAAATAGTCTTTCAGTGCTTCCGAATTTTCCATGATGGTCTAGCTTTAATTGAATTACGATCTCATCTATTGAAATTATTACAATCTCCACAAGACTCCTTCTGAAACAAATTAATCATCTTTAAGTAATTACTGAAATTATATTATGACTAATGCTGTGTTATCTATATTAGATAGTTCAATTACAGAATCTTACTGTCACTCTGGACAACATCATCAGGGTTTACAATATTTAGAATCATTTCACTTAATGTACATACCTTTATCACAGTATATGACAAAACTTTAAATCTTATTCATCATTCGGATTTTTATATTTTCTGTTTTTCAAAAATAAACATTCTTATTCATTATTATTCTTTCTTGATTTATTTATCGAATGATACAGTTCAAATTTTCATAAATCTTCATGGACAAATCAAATTAATTCAACTGAGGCGCCTCAATTTTTTCAATACTTTAGGATACGTATAATGGCAAGGTAAGTTACAATATATACTCATATATATAATTAAAGGTTCTCAATTATCTTTCTTCAATTACATATTTATTATAACAATGAATTATTGTCTATTTAAAGATGTACATATACATATAATCCTTATTTGAATTGAATAGATTAACTGTTGAATTACTAAAAACAAAAAGAGAGAGAGTAAAATGTCAACTAATGTGTATAATTGCCTTCATTATTTAATGAAATAGTTCACAAGTTCAATTAGAATCGATTGTAGATATGTAAACGAATTATCACATATCAATGATCAGTTCATTTATTCAAATAGAATATTTCATGTTTGATGAAATTATTTTCATTATATTATTCTTATGTGATATGAAGTAAAATGAATGAGACAGATACTTTTGTAAGTAGCTAACCAAGAAATGGTTTCATGCCACCAAATGCCCTGGTACGCCCAAGAGTGACCAGAGTTTGCTCTCCCTCTCTCCCTCTCTCCAAATCTTCGAACATGACCACACGTATATAGCGGCTACCAGGGAAGTCATACTCATTGCCTTCTCGCTTGGTGTTATTTACTTGTATTTTCCCGGGTTGAGAATCAAAGAGATATGCTTCAACGGGCCTATATTTTTTACAGAAACTAGTCAAATCTTATAAAAATACATATTAATAACTGAAATTTTTTAGCCTGAAATGGATAATCATAATTATATAAGCATTATATTATATGCATAAATGAATAGTTATATTTATAAACTCACAATATTATCTAGTTACTTAGCTGGTTACGTTATATAAGAATAACTTCAGTTGAAAAAACCCAAATAAACTTATAATTTATATAAATATGTATGTGTCATTTTATACTTGTTATATCCCGTTGAGAATAATGAATGGCAACTTTTGTGATCCATTTATGGACCAATACTATGAGTATATTTTTATCGTATAATTGTTAAATTAACTAAACTATTCATATTCATGTTCCTTTTATCATAAGTTTTATTTTGACCTATGAACTAGTATTATACGGCTTACCATTTTTGAATCATTCCCTGTCTATCAATTACTACCTCCCATATTGACAGCTATATTTTGATATATCTTGTATTAATGTTGTTTCCTATTTTATTGGTACGATGTGGTTGGTATATAAAACGCGTATGTTTGAAATGCATGATTCATATTGCAGAGGCTGAGATTTGTGTTCTGGACATAACAGAATGGACTAGGCGGAGAGCAGGATTGATCAGAACTCTAGACTACTAGCACGGGTTTTAGGAGTCATTTGTCCGATCGATAATTCACTGCTCTCTAATTGGCGGTATCATCACATTATACATTAACAGGGTATACAGACCACAAATTAGAACAATACTATTCAATTGAATTAATTTTAACTGAATAAAAGTAATTTTTCAGTGATTATCTAAGTAAAATTAGTCAATAATGTGAAACTTTAAATATCTTTAGATATCTTTCATAATTATAGACTGTTATAAATATAAGAAGGACAGTTGAATTTGGTCATTACCACCATTGAATGCCGACTAGCTCAATGGTCTAGAGATTCAATGTTCACACGCGAGATCGATAGATACTGGGTTCGAATCTTGTAAGGCAGGATCGTGGACGCGCGATGTTGAGAAGTTTCACAATAGGATGAAATAACCATCCAGTGCTTCCAGGTTTTCTATGATGATCTAACTTCAAATAACTCATGATCTCAACAATTAAAATATTTTATCTTTGAATAAATGATTGTAAAGACTATGATAATGAAAGAAATATATTTATTAATGATTCAGTTGTAATGTAAAAAGTATCATCTTAAGATTAATAGTAAGTTATAATAATGAGAGGTTTTCTTCCTTTTCATTGTTATAGGTATCCTAAAACATTACATATTGAATGCTTAAGCATATTTTAAATGTTACAAAGTGAAACATTCACTTGGTGTCGTTTTACTTGTATCTTCCGATTATTATTTAGAACTGAAATTCATCAGTCTCTTGTTGGCATATATACATCTTGTATGGATTGCGTCAATACAGCCTTAAGTCACAAGCCTTTTAAGCAAAGATGGTTAGTGGCTAACAGTGGAATCCATTATGATGTGCGTTTTTTCCTATTTGAGACTCGTCAGCCGGATCTATCTGCATCACAGAGTTGATGTTTACTCTGGGATTCAAACCCAGTACCTTTCGCTTCAAATACCATCACGTTATCCACTTAGGAAGATACATGTAAAACAACACAAAGTGAATTTAAACCTCACCCCATTGCATAACCAAGTGGTTATCAACACTCAGTAACTAAGTGGAAAATGTGATAGCGTTTTAAACGAACGTTAATGGGTTCGAATCTTAGAGTGATCATTAACCCTGAGATACAGGTACATCCAGTTGACGAGTCTCAAATAGAACGAAACGCGCATCAAACTGGATTCCTATCCTGGTCACTAACCATCTTTGTTTGACAACTTAAAACAGATTTAAAAATATAATTAACAATGATAATGAAATACATATCAATGAATTGAATAAAAAGAAAAGGAACCAAATAAATTTACAAGTAGTCACTTTATTTAAATGTTTATTTTATGTTTAAAAAACTTACAAAGCCACTATCCATCTTTGTTACTAAGTGAATTTCGCAAAAATAATCTTGAAAAAAATATAGTTTCTAGAACCTCAGCGTTATTTGTATTCTGTACAACAAGTTGATCATAAAATATAACTTTAGCTAATGTTGTATTAATTCAGAGTTCATAAACTAGTAAGTGAAATACTTAGATGTTTTCTTATTGAATTCTTATCATAGTAATTATTATCATTTGACTGAATAAGATTAGAAAACAATAGACCAAGTTAAAATAATCAAATTATGAGTTAATTTTTTTTATTAAGATCATGAACCCATTGATGTTAGACCATCGTTGGAAACCTGGAAGCACTGGACATCTGTTTCGTCCTATTTCAGGGCTCCTCAGCAGTGCACATCCATGATCCCGATCGCGAGATTCCAATCTAGAGCCTTCAGTGTCGTGCGCGAACGCTTAACCTACTGGACCACTGAGCCGGCATCAAATGATGTTAGTGTCCAACATCAATTTACGAGATTGCGCGATCATATTTCATTGTACTGAGGTAGATACCTGTCTCTACCCAACGGTGAATCAGCTGCGCTGGTCACGACTTCTAATTAGAACTCCGAGAATTCCCTCACGAAACTAGTCACTAGTGTGCACATATGTTAATTATTAGTATAAGGGTTGTTGGAGCTTATTAAGTTTTTGATTGAGATCATGAACCAATCTCAAAACAGCCCTTATACTGATATGAGTTAATTGACGAAATCTTCAGCATTGTGGTTAAATCCAATTAAAATAGATAAGTTTTTCCTGTAGATTTTCTAGTGTTGAATTTGATTGATGAGTTGATAACAATGAAATTACTTATTTTTACAATATAATATTTGATCGAGTTATTTACGATCTTTCCGTTGAACTGCTCTATTTTAGCAGAATAGAGATTTTCGAAGATTGTAGTAATTTTAACAATTGGATTCATGAGTCGATTTAAGCTAGACCATATTTGATAATTTAGAAGCAATGGACGATTGTTTCGTTTTAGTATGAGACTCCTTAGAAATGCACATCCACGATCCCGTACACGGAACTCCATTCTAAGATTTTAGATCTCGCTCGCAAACACTTGACCTCTAGACCATTGAGCTGGCATCCAACGATGTTAATGTCTAACTTCAATCGATCCACGATCTTACGCAACCCTTCACCCATTGTCCGAGGTAGATAACTGTCTCTCACTTGACGTGGATTGGACTCAAATGGTTAGGGCTTTTCACTAGAAAACCAAAAAATCCATCTTGACGCTAGTCACTAAAGACCACATGATTATTATCATAATGTGAATTTTTGGAAATTATAGTAATTTTAACAGTTGAATACAAAAGTCGATCTAAGCTCTCTATTGTTGCGTTTCAGTGTATTTATTCCTGTTTCCTAAGATTTAATTTAAATTAATTAGGAATTTTCATTGTTAAATAAACAAGTTATATCCAGTAAATAATTTTTCAGACGACAGTTTTATTTACATTAAACTAAGGCAGTATGGTACTTTTTAACAAGAAGATTTTATAACTATATACACATAGGTAAACAATAATTTTTTTTCATAAGGTGGTAAAATGAATTCAGTCAGTCAGTAACAACGCAGAACTTCGTACGTACATACATCAGTTCGACTTGCCATACCACATTAACACAGAGATGCAGTTGTTGATTCAAATCCCATAGTGGTAGAGGTGGTAAGAGTATAAGCAGTAATCGGAAAGATTAGGGTTTGAAGATGTTATTTAAAGAGTATAATCCAGTCAAGTAAATTTGAAAAGAGAAAAAAAAGAGACAAGGAGGAATCAGGAGATTAGAATTAGTTGCAAATTAGTTCATTATACATCTAAATCATTGGATCTAAAGGTTATATGTTAACTGTAAAGTCAAAATATTTTGAATTTAATCATAGGTGAACACAATTGAAAGATCCCATTCTAAGATGAACATGTCATACATTGTTTTCTAGTATTTAATTATCATTTAATTTCAGTTCATGATCTAAACTATAAGATAAATAATTAATATGATGAATGTAGTTACTATGTGAATGAGTTAATCTTTGAATTATAACACATATGTTGATATGTTGACGTATATTATTATTGAAAATTCTGATGTTTTCAAAATGTTATTTGAATGTTGATCCATTTCTAGGAAACAAAAAGTATTTCATATAAACACTGATCAACTTGACAAGAAAGCTTGAAGTTCACCTTTCATTGATTTATATCTAGTCACTGGTTAATGTATCTATTAAGGTTTATTGTTAAATTTCATCTATGTTATACCATTTCGATCTGACAGATAAGTTTTAACCGATGAATTCAAAAAGTTAAAACGGTTATAGACACTGATTGGTCATAAAGTAGGAACTATCATTTAT